GCATATTAGTATGAAATGAAAGAATCAACGAGGTATCTAGACCAATATACGTTTTTGGATTTGAATTTATTGTGCTGTTTGTTTGTGCAGTTTAAATATTAATAAAAATGTTTCGAAAGAAATTGTGTTTTGTTTGGAAATCCAGCCTATTTACCTATACAGGATGTTTGTTAATTGAGTGCCGATACTTCAGGGTTTGAATCATTGGGAGCTTTTAAGGAGAAAAGTTAATATAAACATATTATGTCGTAAAACTCCTAATTTTTGAGCTACAATTTTAAGAAAAAAACTAGTCAAGTAGGCAATATCATGCTTTGATATGATGAAGTTATCGCATAATTATCTATCTTTGTTTCCCAGGAACTCTATCACAGAATCAAGCGAGTCAAACGAGTACCTCTTGTTAACCAAAGCATTTCTGTGTGAACCACAAAACATAATATTGTTCTTTTTGTTTTATACAGGGTGTTATTGAAATACACGTACATATTAAAATGGGGAATAGTATGTAATGACCAAAAACGATTGGCACCAATTTTAACTTCAAATTCTAAAATTTAAATATTGGGAAAGAGTCCCCTTTTCCGACCTACTAGTTTCCATATTTAAAGAAGTAAAATAAATCGAAATTGAACTTACCCATAGAAATTGCACTGTTGCCGTAGCAAAACCAATTAATTCAAAATAAAGTTTATTACAGTAATTGTTCAAAATGCCGTTCATTATTATTTACACACACTTGCAATCGTCTTTCCAAAGAACTTTGAACATTAGAAATTAGTCTTGGATTTTGTCGTAGTTCCTCGGCTACCGCATTAACTTTATTGGTTAATTGTTCAACACTATTAATAGGTTCATTATAAACCAGTTGTTTCATGTGACCCCACAAAAAGAAATCGCATGGATTTAAGTCCGGAGATCTCGGAGGCCACTTAGTAGGTCCATTTCTGCCTATCCACTTTTGAGGAAATCTAATGTTCAAAAACTGCCGTACGTTTAAATCAAAGTGAGGAGGAGCGCCATCTAGTAGGTACCACATCCGTTGCCTTAATTGTAATGGTATCTCTTCTAGGAGTACTGGCAAAATATCTTCTAAAAAGTGGAGATATCCTGGCCCATTTAATCTGTTCGGGAGAACATAAGGCCCGATTAAATACTGATCTATTATGCCAGCCCAAACATTTATTGAAAATTTTCTTTGATGCCCAGTTTCCCTAATGGCGTGAGGATTTTCATCACTCCAAATATGCGTATTGTGCATATTGAACACGCCATCACGAGTGAATGAAGCCTCGTCAGTATACAATAATATTTTTAGAAAATCAGGAATATCAACACATTTTTGAATCATCCATTCACAAAACTCCACTCTCTTTTCTTCATCACCTGGATATAAGGCCTGGACTTTTTGGATGTGATAAGGATGTAAACCTTGTTCTTTAAGTGTCCGCCACACAACAAATGAGGACACTCCAATTTCAAGACCTAGTCTTCTACAACTTAATTGAGGCCGGTTTTCAACAGCTTCCAATATTTCTTCTTCGGCCGCCAATGTTCTTTGTGTTCTTGTTCTCAATCGATCTGCATTGACACTCTCAAATTTTCCATGGTCTCTTAGATGCTGAACAGTTGAAATAAACGTACGACAGTCCGGAATTCTCCGATTTGGAAACCGTTCGCGATACAGGATTTGTGCTTGCCGAGAATTTGCTCCAGCTGCCCCATAAACCAGCACTATATCCGTTAGTTCAATATTCGTAAATAGTGGCATCGTAAAAAAATATTTAAAAGTAATCGTAACAACACTTTTTACCAACTTGGAAATGACGCGCTCGTGTTAGCCAGATTCGTAAATCAACTAAAATTTTAATGATCTATAGTTTCAAAAATGTATAGTTTAAAAACAATCATTTATCAAATATTCTAGTTTTTTGATAACGAGGGTAGTAAAAACCAGTCTTCGGAAATAGAAATTAATTCGAAAATCTTGGCAACATGGTTATTTCTTACAAGACTAGTTTTCTTATCATCTGACAAAAACTTGCATATTAATTACTGTTGATGTTTAAAATAGGTAAATAAACCTAATTTATATAGGTCATCCTCAACATATCAGTGAAGTACGTTTATTTTAGAATTAATTTTCAAAAATTAATAACTCCCTTAATAAGGGGTATTTTTAAAAAATAATATTTTTCTACATTCAGTGGGGATCTGCGCAATACCCAGTTTTAATATGTACGTTAATTTCAATAACACCCTGTATATTCTAATAAATTATATTTTCTTGTATTATGATGTTAATTAATAAAGGGCAGACACATGGTCAAGGCCATGGTACTATTAATTTACAAATTCTCATTATTTTGGTAAACCTGAGGTGTCATTTAAAATTATTAACCTAATTCTTAATTTTCAAGTAAAAATAATAAACAATTCTGAATTAAGAGGTTAATTTTTATATAAACAATAAACATAGAAAAGATAATTAATATGAATTATGAATAGGGTCAATAATTATTTATAAAAAGCACTGTACTTTAAGAATTCTTAGAAAAATTATCAAAAAGCTGGACATAATTAAAAGGTAAGCTAAATTCATAGCAAATTAAGAATAATATCGAATTTTAAAAAAGTATTTATATTGAACTGATCACTAAAATATATGAGTTTGCCAAAAGGCCGTATGTAAGTAAGCAAGCACCTTGTGAAAAGATCGACTTCTAGGGCCATCATAGAACTACAAAGATATTTGGAAGATGATCTGTTAGATCGAAAAAAAAGGCCCTCTACAATGGTGGAGAGAACACCAATATATTTATCCAAATTTAAGCCAATTGGTAAAAAGTAAATTTTGTGCTATGACTACCTCAGTGCCATGAGAAAGCCTTCTAAAGCTGACGAAATTATTAGTGAATCTCGACGTAGTGCAGATGTTACTGTTTTTAAACTGTAATTCAAAGTTTTTAAGTGAGACTTAAGTTTTTATTATCTTGTTGTTTATTTTTTTGAAAAAAGACCTCGCCGCGAATAATCGAAAGTCTATCTTCTAAAGCAAAAATCGTACAAACTTTTAGAGGCCATTTTCTTTCTTTTCATGACATTCTAAGGTATTCCACGACCTGAAATGTCATGATTAGTCGACCGTTTGGAAAATATTTTTTTTTGCAAAGAAGACGTCTCCAGTAGATGCGTGTAGATAAACCATTTCTGATCCCATATTATTTGCGATATGACCAAAATATGGTGGAGAGTCATTCAATAGAGTATAAAAGTATTAAAAAAAATATTTAGAAGCTTCTATTGTCGCTATAGAGACTTGGAGTATTTTAGGAAAAATATGGAAATTCTGGACCACAAATTTTTTTATTATTTAATATAAAAATGTTAAAAAATTCAACATAGAGTATTGAGGCCTGAAAAAGACGAAAATTACCATAAAAATGGATAGGGCTTATGTGAAACGAGATATGGGACTGAAACTGGGTTTTAGAGCGATTTTGGGGCCCTACGAGAAAACTAAGAAGCCCTAAAAAAATGTCTAGGTCATTTTCGGCTTTTCCAGACCCATATACACAATACAAATCATCCCTGTATATTTGAAACCTTTAACGCATCTATTTAATCTTACAAACGTTTATAAATCTCCGTCTCATATTGTTACACATTCATTTATGTATAAGTGCAAGGTTTCAGATAAGGATCTGAATTAAGCAAGACGACGCAGCGTCGCTGAAACTCTCTCAGGACGAATAATTGCGAAAGCTAGCAGGTAATGATTATGTAATTCAACTGCAAGCACCGACTAGCAGACTCCGTATACCTTATACCCTTATAGCAGTATTTTAACCTGATTTAAGTGTTTTATTAAAACCGCTACGTACCCCTCTGCCGAAGTCAAGATCAACTTTTGTAAGGAAAATGAATATTCATAACTCAAAACCAGACGCAAACGGTGCGAGACAATGCGAGAGTTTTTTACAGTTTTTATGTGACTGATGAATGTTTACAAAAACACTTTTAAATTATTCAGTTTTTGAGAAAACTGAATTTTAAGATTCTAAAGCTGATTGATTGAATTTTAATTTTTTAGTCCTAAAGGTACGAATTTCTTTATAAATTTGTTATTAAGGGCTTAACAAATGAGTCTGGTTTATTTAAAAGACATTTATTCCTGACTAAAGTTGTTATCTTCCAAGATATAATCAATTAAAAATTTAATTGCTTTTTAAACTTGACGTGAAATTCGACTAATTTCTTTGGATCTCTTTAGTCGGATTTAAGTTTAGTTCAAATGTATTTTGGCAGTGATTTAGTTGGTTAAATAAATTTACTGTAAAGTATCAAGTTGTGTTGTATAAGTTAGAAGTTATAATTATTAGATTTTTAATTTTAATTTTTCATGGACCATATTATATCAGAAATTTCTCTTCGTGATTCTAGATTAATTAAATTTAAATTTGATAAAATTTTGTTTTCTCTTATTTGAGGATAATATTTTTTATGGCAATAAGAAATAAATTTATTCTGAACAGATTGTAACTTATCTATATATACTAAGTAAAAGGGATTCCAAATTATTGATCCAAACATGAGTATACTATTAACGTAAGCCATATATAAGGCTCTGATTGTATGAGAATTTTCACAACTTTACAAGAGAGCGTTTTAAAGTTTTTTTATAAAGTTAAGTCTCCTTGTGAAATTATCAGATACATTGGTTAGATATGTGCTATTTTAATAAATTTAATGAATTGAGATACGAAATTTCGTGAAATTGTAGAGCATCCTTTTCTACATAATATGAGACTTATTTCAATTTTCAATTTTTTCGAGTTACGTCACTTCGTGATATTGACGACGAAATATGCCTTTAACTTACAAACTAAAATTTTGTCAGCATATAATTCTATCAAATGTATTTAAAAAAAACGGTACATTATTTTTTTTTTTTGTTAAACTTTTTATGACTAAATACACATATATATATTTTTTTTCAGTTTTGACGTCAGAGGCAGACAGTTTTCTCAGGCGAAGCTCTATTCGTCACCAGATATACTTGGACCAAGAGCATTTTTCAGAGCTGTCACCACACCAGCTGCACTAGTAATTGACAATATTAAACTTTCCGATGAAGGAGTATACAGATGTCGAGTGGACTTCAAAAACTCTCCTACAAGGAATAGCAAAGTTAACTTCACAGTTATCAGTAAGTACACATTTCAACAACAAAATCTGGGGAATGAGAGAGAGAGAGAGATATGCTTTATTGTCGTAAAAAAATTTACAAAAATTTTATAGACAAAGCGTGTAACTTAAATACTAAACATATTATAAAAATAACTAAACAGCAGAAAAAACAAACAGAAACAAACAGACAAAATAGGAATAACAATTGCAATGAATATGCAATATCCGTCATTATAATTATTCTAATTTAATTTTTAAATTTAAATTTAAATTTAAACTTTAATATTTAATTATTTAATTAATGCCATTGTATGTGGAACTCAAATGTCTAAGGTACGTTATAAAATTCTGCTACTGTGTAATATGGTCTTTCTAGAAGAAAAGCTTTAGCCAGTCTTCGGAACTTATCGTATGTATTTATAGATTTTAATTGCATCGGAAGGTTATTATACAATTTTTTGGCATTGTAGGTAATGGAATGTTTTAATAGGTCAGAAGTGGGCATTGTTAAATAAACATCAGTCTCTAAATTTCTTGTAGGATATCTACGAGTCGGTCTTTCGGATAAATTTTGAATGTGCTTGCGAACTAAGCAGACGGATTCGAAAATAAATAGAGCAGGAAGGGTTAGAATTTTGAAATTTTTGAAGTAATTTTCGCAATGTATCCTACTACTTAAACCAAATACATAGCGGATTGCTCTTTTTTGCAGTTTAAAAATAGATTCGAAAAGGTATAAGCTACAAGAACCCCAGAAAGGTAAACCATAGCGAAGGTGAGATTCGAATAAGGAAAAGTAGGTTATTAATGCAGTAGAAGGAGTCAGCTCTTTAGAAACCGATTTAATGGCAAAACATGCGGAGGATAATTTTTTTGCTAAGGTATCTATATGAGCAGACCATTTTAGAGAATCGTCTATATGAAGACCTAAAAACTTGATTGAAGTCACCGTTTGGATCAGATTATTGTTTAAAGTTATAGGTTGTAAAGTACTTCTGTAAGACAATGCTACAGTTTTACTGGTGTTGAAACAAAGTCCATTCGAATCAGACCAGGACTTAATAGTCACTAGATCTTCACTTATGATAGATTGTAATGTCTGCATGTTAGAATTATTCCAGGTTACACTGGTGTCATCAGCAAATAAAGTAATTCTACCACTTATTCTTAAGTCTGTGATGTCGTTGATGAATAATAAAAACAAAATTGGACCTAATACTGATCCTTGAGGTACTCCACTGCTTATTGCTAGATTTGTAGAATCCTCACCATTCGCCCGCACCTGTTGATTTCTATTTTCTAGGTAAGTTTTAAACCATTGTAAAGGAGAACCCCGTATGCCATAAATTTGTAACTTATTAATTAAAATATCATGATTTACACAATCGAAGGCCTTTGCGAAGTCACAAAATACTGAAGCGGTGAAAAGTTTATCATTAAGTGATGTGTATATTTCATTAAGAACGGAAAACATTGCGTCGCTAGTGCATTTTTTAGGTAGAAAGCCATACTGATGAGGTGTGAGGATGTTATGCTTGAAAGGAAAGGGCAAAAGACGGTTTTTCATTAGCCGTTCTACTATCTTCGATAAGGTAGGCAATAACGCGATAGGTCTATAGTTACAGGTTTTGGTTTTGTCGCCACCTTTATGAAGTGGGATTATTATAGCTGTTTTTAGACAGTTAGGAAAGAGACCAATTTCAAAGGATTCATTAATCAGTGAAGTTAAAATGTTGATTACTACATCTGGTGTATTTAGAAATATTTTGGTGGACAGGCCATCAATTCCACAGGAAAATTTATTTTGGATGTTGTTTATGGTTTGCACTAGTTCATGCTTGTCTATTGGTCTTAGGAAGAAACTTTCAGTGATCCTTTTAGTAGGTAGGAGGAAGGAGAGAGCATCCTGACTCGGAGCTATGTTAGATTTGATATTTTTACTTACATTTACGAAATAATTGTTCTGTTCATCTGGGCTAGGATTTACACTGTTTGAAGAACGGGTTTTATTCCTTAAGTCATTTATTATAGACCAGGTTTCTAAAGTATAAAAAAAGGTTTCTAAATAAGCCTTAATTATGAATCGTAATCTGTTGAAATAGTTTAATATTCTTTTTCAGAATTACCCTATATAGGATGTTTTAAAAAAAGGGGTCGTCATTGTTAGGATAGTTTCAATTTTCTAGTTCAAATTTTATGTGAACTCAATTTTAGATCAAAAAGGTACTCTTGATAAAACTCGATGCAGTGTACCATTTTCGGAATATTTTAATTTGAAATGGCATCCAATTTATGCCATAAAAAATTTCCTATCATTTCGCGATACATTTCACCATCCACTGTTACCCCATTTCCGGCTGCAAGTCGTAATAAGTTTTCACGATTAATAATAAAAATAATAATAATAATAATACTCTCCCTAATTCATTCCCTTACGAGTGAATTTCAACCCCTGAAGTCGACTGAACGACTTGTATAGGGGAAGGGACGGCTATTATTATTATTTGTCGTGGCGCTCCGGGGCGACTTAAAGATGATTGATGGTGCCATTTGATTTACAGGTGAGTAAAACCAGGAAAACCTCACCCACCATCATCGAGAGGGTAATGCATGCATAGGTCTTGTTCAACTAATAAAAATCATATAGACACCGCTATGATTTTGATAGTACATTGGGACACTTGCTGTTATTTTAAATATAAAAATTCCCTGTGAATTAAATTGTCATCAACTCTTTAACTCATTATCATTAATATTAAAATTACCTAAAATATCTGCAAAATTGATGCTTTTTTTCTGGGTATATTGTTTAAATTTATTTTAACCTCTTTTTTTTAACAGAGGGTCTTTTTTCGGAGCTTTTTTACTTACTGGAGTAAAAAGGTTATTAATATTAGGTCTACGTATTGTATTTGAAAGATAAGCTTTAGGAAGACAGAATATTTTTAACTCACCTGTCCAGAAAACGCGTACTCATTGTGCAACATTTTTACAAAACCGCTTCAAATTGTTTACGTTGACGTTTATGCTGGTTTGAATATAATGGGAAAATTAGGGTAGTCATTAGCATTTCGTTTTAACCCTTTTCTAATTTGGCTAAACAGATTATTTCCTGGTGTTGCACAAAATAAATTGTATTACTTTTCCCGGAATAGGGACCGAACAGTATGGTCCAGCACCCGTCGCTCGACCGGTCGTTCATTTATTTTGGTCAATAAGCTCTCGCTGGACGTCAGGTTATTTTTCAAACTCTCCTTCTAATCTACTTTGTGCGGGGCTTTATTTATATCTACTTGAAAAAAGGTTGTGATGGTTTCGTTCTTTTGTTGATGGTGCGAGGTCAGCTCGAACGGCGTTCGATTGTAAATCTTCGGAGAAACCAGCCGCAGCCGTCCGCTGCTGCCTATAGTTCTAAGACATGTTTTTTGAAGTGTGACAAAGGAGTAAATAATAACTTTAGTTTACTTTCTGCGATTGTAAAATATTATTTTTGTGTAGAGAATGTTTGCAATTTTCCAGATTTATCGCTTATAGTTTTGTCGTAAGTTTTTATTTTATTTCGATTCCCTTTTTAGCTCAAAACAAAATTATGTATTCCATAGAAACTATTTTACTACAAAATTTATAATTTTTAAATTGAAATGCAGTGGTTGGGGCCTAGACCTTAGATCGAAACACGTTACCATGGCAACGATGTCAGCTTCACGTTTTCATTAATATTTTTAGTTTCATATAAATAAATAATAATAATCATCAATCAAAAAGTGATTGTAATTTATTTAAAAAGCTATCCATACTGTTTCTTGTGCTAATATTGAAAATATTCTCTTAGTGAATTTAATTTAAAAATTAGGAAACAAATCCCCTTACGAATTATCAACACCATCCCTATTCGTACTAATGATAAAAATACACAACATTAAAATAGAAAATAAACTTAATCTTGCTAAATTTATTGTTAAACCTAGATCATAAATATTACTAGTAAACTACCCCTTTTTTATTTTCACAAAATACAAGGTTTAACATGAATATTATATCACGTTTCCCTTTGGTAATAAAGATAAACATTATTATAAATATTAATTTTATGTTCCTATATTTTTACTACCTAAACACACCATTATCAGAAAAGAAACAGTCATAAAGTCCGTAAAGAACAATAAAATGTTTTCTGGAAGAACGAACGAATATAAAATTCCAACGAAGTGAATAAAGGAAAGCACTGTTTCTCATTTAGATTCGATAAAGTTGGTATATTTTTATAAATGTTTAGAGAATGAATCCCAAAGTATTTTTTATTTTTACTAGATTCAATTGTGAATTTTATTCAAAGTAGCTAAATAGTCTTTTAACCAAATAAATTTGTAGGACATTTTAATAGAGGAGATGAAATTTATGTTACGTCAACCTCAACTCACTTGGTATTTGTCATCTTCATGAAATGAAGGAAGAACAGAGATATAGACTTAAGTTTCTTTTGCCATTGTGCATGATTTTTTCCCTACAGCATTAATTTATGTTACGTCTCCTTCATAATGCTGTTTTCCTTCTTTGAATCGCACTAATTTTAATTGAGACATATATTTAGGTTCTACTGCGTTTATTACGTCACGTTTTCTTTACAATGCTGATTATTCCATGCAAATTGGAGCCAGAGCAACGGAGATTTAGACATAGGTCCTCTTGGCTTTGCTACAGCGCCCAATTTTTCTCTTCAACGTTAATACATACCATGTTTCCGTTTTTTCGTTGGAAAAGGCTCAATATATTGCTTTAGGGCCTTTTGGAAACACCACTGCGCTCCATTTTTCTCTTCAACGTTAATCTAATTTACGAAGATGTTTGTTTCGTTTGAATTGGTCAAATAATAGCGAAGATATTAACTAGTGCCCTTTTGGTTAACTGCTACATCTATTACCTTGTAAATGATAGCTTTGACAGTTCACGCTTATCCCGTTTGAATCGGGCTAATAGCAACGAAAATATACATTTAGGACCTTTTGACTTCGCCCCTCT